ATGGCCAAAAAATATTATTTTACTAACTTATTAATTTTAAGTTAAATTGTGCTTTGTTGGTATAATGTCTGCTAGAATGTTAAAAATGTTCAGTGTTAAATATTTTTAAATTGTTGTTTTGTAATTGATTTTTTCTTTCAAAAGCAAGACAAAACCGTAAAAAGCACATTTTGGCTATTTAATTTGTGCAATGGTGCAAAAAATTGGCAAAATACATGGGGGGAAAAAACTCGAAAAAGCGTATTCGGCCTTCGGCTTTCATTTTGTTCAGTTTTGGCTTCGGCCAAGAATTTTCATTTCGGTGCATCCCTAATTTATTATTTTTATATTGCATATAAATATTTTAATAAATATATATACAATAAAAATAATACAATGTATGTGTTATATGTGTGTGTGTGTATATGATTTTTTAATTTATTGAATTATTTTATTAAAATTTTTTTTTAACCTCAAACGTATTCCAGAATATAGTACCTGTAGTTTGTTGTGTTTTTGAATGTTACTGTGAAATGATCAGATGTTCTTTTTCACCTTCGTTCTTGTGTTGTTTGTGTAATTCAATTAGAGTCTGTCTTGCTCTGCTTTACGACCCTCTGTTTTACGATGCGCCGTTGACAGCTCTCAGATTTATTTGCGAGACACGTCGAGCGGTTGTTATGAGGCGGAGCTGTTCCCGCGACGACAGGGGTCGTGACCTCATTGTGGCTGAATGCATCGTGTTATAGATGCGTTTAATTGGCGGGATGGCGAGGGTGAGGGGTGTGGCTGACCTCTGCCCCTGTGCTCTGTTTATGGAGCGTCTTTACTGCTCGAGTGTGTGAGACAGTCACTGTACTGCCCTCCCCCAACACACACACACTACACAGCACAACTGTGTTCAACACTGATAATAATCAGAAATGTTTCTTGAGCAGCAAATCAGCATATTAGAATGATTTCTGAAGATCATGTGACACTGAAGACTGGAGCAATGATGCTGATAATAATTCTGTTGTCGAATCACAGCTGAACATGTGCATCTCTCTTTCTCTCCTCGCGCAGGCTGTTCCTCCAAGTCGTTCAAGCTGTACTCCCCAAAGGAGCCCCCCAACGGAGGCGCTTTCCCCCCCTTCCACCCCGGCACCATGCTGGACAGAGACGTGGGGTGAGTCCGTCTGTTTCAACGTCATTCACAGCAAATATCAAACGCAGTATCACCCGTATGAGCTCAGAATCAAGAGATATTATAACTCCATTTTAAGCATATAGTGCTAAAAACTATCCATAAAGAATAACTTATGATGTGCATGATAGAGCGTTTCAGATCAGTGCATGCTGGGATGCTGTGGTGTGAGTTCCTGTAAGCGTCTGTGAGGACTGAAGAGCGTTCAGCTGCATCAGCAGTCAGTGGATGTTTCTGTCAGATAGCGGGAGCAGGAAGCGCTGTGTGCTGGAAAACCAGCTGTCAATCAATGTCTAGAATTGGACCACGTCCAGGAAGTGGGTGGGGCTTCCCTTGTGGCAGGGCAGTAAAGTTGAGTGGGTGTCATATCTGCTGTGGCACACTGATAAATGCAGAAAATGACTCTCTTCCTGACTGTGATGGTGCCACAAACTGCACTTGTTCACACAGTGTCTGAACTCGTGTGTGTGTGTGTGTGTGTGTGTGTGTGTGTGTGTGTTACAGTCTGTTTTATGACCTCATTAGGGCTGTGTGGCGTTTATAAAGCATGTTATGTGAACTTTATGAGGTTTGACATGATCTTTCATGTTTTCTTTTTTGGTTTCTGTCTTGTTTCTGCAGCCCGACGCCCATGTATCCCCCCACATACCTGGAGCCGGGCATCGGGTGAGACATTTACACATTTCAGATTAAGCCTGACATATGAAATAATAGTCAGAATAATCTTTTTTTTTTTTTTTTTAATGGAGCAGCATGTTTGAACCTTTAGAAAA